CACACACACACACACACACACACACAAACACACACACACACACACACACTTAGATTAACACTTAATGAGACACACACCTGAGGCTGAATCCCCCCTCATTTATCAACCATTTCCCAGCACATGAACTCATTCTCTCCTCTGCATATTCTAGAGGAAAGAGCAACAAAATGAAAAGGGGAGCGAGAGAGAGAAAAAAAATGGGTATTAAAGATGATGTATTGTGGAAACTGAGGAAAAACTGCTTCTGGATCCAGGAGTAAATCCAGACAAATTTTCATCAAAACAGTTGGGACGAAAGCATTGAGAAGCTGTGAAATGTAGCTGGAATACAACTGTGACGAGCGCAGAGAAACGAAGGAGGAGCAAAAATAACTTTCCAGGAGAACAACTTGTTAGCAAAACAAAAAGCAGGTGGGAAAATATGAACATTTCTAGTCTGAAAATGGGATTTTTCAAGACTCTGAATGGATTCACTTTTACACTCAGATACAATAACAGACAGCTTCTGTAACATTTCTGTGTGCAAACTCCTACAAGGAAAACATATCGCCTTCTTACATTCATACAGGAGTTTAACCCTAAAAAAGCATGTGCAATAGGTTGCCTTCAGGCCCAGGCCTCCCAGTGGGATTTGCCTGGTTAATAATAACAGTTAAATAAAAAATAACCTGACATCATTTTTTAAACAGTGTTTTAATGCTAAGGAAGATTTAGCTCAATAATAAAAAATACAAGTTGTAGGTTTTTTTTTTTTGGTGTTGGCCAAGCTGTAGATATACACAATAATCACTCTTTGAGAATTTAATTAAAATCTATCAAGTGATTCAATGAGATATTTTGCTAACAGGTAAACAGAACTGAGGCTTACAATTAATGTAGGGGGAAAATATCACACAATGTGTAATGCTCAAAATATGTGATGGGGATAATACCCAGCCAATATTACACCAAACTTTTGTCCACTATTTAAAAACAATGTCTGAGTTGTGGCCATTTTTGTGTTCCTTTTCTTCAACTGGCYGTGGCAGCCATCTTGATCTGAGTTTACTTCAAATGTTTTTGAGTTCTAGTGATTATTTTCTGATGGTTTCATTGAAACCAATCTACTAGTTCATGAAATATTTTACTAACACACATGCATAGACACAGGTAAAAGCACTTGTGCCATCCTGATTGGCCCACTCACTGGAAGCCCTGATTGTGCTCCTCCGGGGGCAGGATGGTGGGCAGGAACAGCTCCATGTTGCTGATGGCCTTCTGCATGACCCCGTCAAACACACACAGCAGGGGGCGCCACTCATCCAGCATCTCCCTGGTAGAGGATGCAGGGAAATACCTAAAAAACATTTTAAAAAAACCAATCTAATAAGGTAAAATAACAGCTTCACAAAGATAAACAGGACACCACAGAGATGTGAATGAGCGAAGATACAACAAAACACTGATCGGTGGTGCGCAGCTCAAGTGGAGATCAAAGAAAAAAAACGTTCTTTTGCCTCAGAGATTACACGATCACAAAAGATGAAACTTACAGTCTGCAGCTTCTGATCAAAGCCTTCAGAACGTGGTCCACAGAGCTGCGAGCAAGGAGAGAGATCTGTGAGTGTTTGTGATCATCAAGAAGAAAACTTTACAAAACACAACTCAAGTTAGTGTCTCGGTGTCTGTAGTGTTAGCAAAATATCGCATTAAACACTATCACATTTTATTGATCCTGTCAGAAAGTAAACCAATTCAATTCAATATGGCTGTCACAGCTAAGTGATCCTAGAAAACACAAAAAATACGTATTTGATTGATTTTTACAGAGATTTAGCTAAAATTTGGCGTGGC